TTTGAAATGATTGAGCACATTCATGAAAATGAATGGACTATTGTTTATGAAGAATTAAAGAGAGGAAACAAAAGAATTCTGAGATAGGAGACTCAAGTGAGAAACTCCATCAAACATTGCTAAGCTAAATCATTTTAGACTTTCTGAGAGTTTCTTACTATTTCAACGTAAACTACTAACGAGCTTTGCAACAATCAGTTAGAAACAATCGTGGCTTTTTATCGATATCCTCATCTAGATCCAAAACCAACTCAAAAAATTGACTGTAAAACAACAGTATGAACAAGAATTGTGAAGCTGAATTTCTTCTCAACTCCTCCCAAAATAATCAAAATCTTTCCATAATAAGCGTTAACAAGATAATCCGACAACAACTTTATTTGGGCAATGAAATACGTTTCACAGTCGTTTTCATGCGTACTGTCCGATAAAGAAAGGATTCATGTCCTTCGATAGAATGAACAAAAATGGGTGATTTGCTATGAACATCCTAGGTTGCTTTCTCGTCCTCGACTGAAGCCAAATTCTGAAATACGTGGCGGCAGCTGCAGTGGTTCCCTTTTCATCAACCTATAAAAAGTTTTGAGTTGAGACTAATACCGCAGTCGAGATTTTGTTGCACTTATAATTAACAAGTACCACAGCCGCGGTTGGTCCTAAAATCAGTATACACATTTTCTAGAAGTGTAGTAAGAGCTTGCGCTTATTTAGTTATAGTATAGCGTAAAGTATTTAATTCTCTATGTACGGTAAACTGAGATTCTCTCAACTTGTTCTATTCTACCTACCTCAATGAGAGCTCTGTGTGCTGCATCGGATACATACAACGATTGCTCTGAAATTCCTAAAAGATTGGCTCGTTGTTTTGAAAAAATATCAGTAACGCCCATAACCATAAGTGCCTCTTTGAGTTCGTAGTTGGTGTCAATTTTCATTTTTGGAATGGAGATCTGAAAGACTTACGTGATAAAGTGTCAAAACTTTTTTTACCAACCGTCATGGACTCGAGTTTTAGCCGCGAGAGCAGATTTCGAATCACAACCCCGCTTAACTGTAATCTGAGCTTCTTTAAACCAAGTCTAAAGTGGTTGGAATTACAGCTCTACGAAGTTTAAATAGCAAAGAAGTCACCTGTTTTTGGGCAGAAATATGTTGAAAGCGTAAGAATTGTCTTTATAAGGTAATGACAATACTTCAACGTCTTCATTTTTAACAAACAATTGGTTTGTTTCGAATTCTTTCATGAATTATACCTAGAGCATATACTTCAATCAGTGCTATGAAGACGTCACATCACCTGTTTCTCATTGTTTTCGGAATGGTAAAAAATACGTTTCTTTGTTGAATAGGGAATGAATTTACACCACCACTCGGCTTTGAAATAGACGGCGTTCACAACAAGCGAGAATGCGCCTGAACTTCAACTTCATTTGAGAAGAAACAAATGCATCAACAAACTCATCTTGCACTACATGCTCAGTTATAAGATTCTTGATTTTCCCCTCTGTTGTTGTACTGACGAAGTCATCAACTACCTTAATAAAATTGTGGTCTTCTTCATTTCTTAAGACAGATTGATACCTTGACTGCGGTCTTTGCCTGTTGAAAATCTAGAGCCTTCACTCTAGCCGCGCACCTCTTCCTTACCAAGCTCGCATAGTCATTTTTGATCGAGAATCTCTTGCAAGAAAAGATTCTTTACATCAGCGTAGCGTTTGAACATATGATACAACTTCTTTTAGCGCACCCAATCAATGGAATTTGCTACTAGAAGCGACGCGTCTTCGTTACCGCCCTCGCAAGGGAGG